ATATCGCTAAGCGTTATTTACATCTACTCCCAGTCCAATATTCCATTAATATCGCTAAGCTTTATTTACATCTACTCCCAGTTCAATATTCCATTAATATCGCTAAGCGTTTTTTACATCTACTCCCAGTCCAATATTCCATTAATATCGCTAAGCTTTATTTACATCTACTCCCAGTTCAATATTCCATTAATATCGCTAAGCGTTTTTTACATCTACTCCCAGTCCAAATTCCATTAATATCGCTAAGCGTTATTTACATCTACTCCCAGTCCAATATTCCATTAATATCGATGCGCGTTATTTGGGGAATCAGCCGTAAAATACAATATTGTGTAAGTTGAAACACTAACAGGAATATCAGTCCAAACTGGTTAATTACAATTCATTATTTACAAAGATATGATGAATTGATGGACCTCTCTTCTGGGGTGCTGGTGTTGGAGTGGTCGGGTTTAACAGATACCAGATTTAAAATGCTTAAACCAACAAGAACGATTGTCCAGAATGGTAAACGGAAAAGACACATGTTTAAACTTAACATTAGGTAGTCGTAAAATAGCAACTGAACCTTTTCGTGACCCTGAAATATGATAACAAAAATAAACAAAAAAACAATGGGTTCAGAGTTCAGGGTCCGCGCGAGTGCCAGATCATACCCGTCGACGTCTTGTCAAGCTGATGTAAACAGGTAACAGGTATCAATCACGACCTAGGCGAACTGGATATATATATGTATATATCATCACGCACATCAAAATGACGCCACTAAAGCCGTTTAGTATTTTAGAAAGCGGCCCAACTAATCACCGACAAGGACTAACTAGAAAATTTTTTTTTGTCTCTAGTGTCCAAGGCATTGTACAAGTTCCCGACAAGTAAATATATGTTCTACAAATCACATCTAAAATTTAAACATTAAAATTTTTAAGGACAATTGAAATTTGGATGAAAACGATCCAACTAATCACCAACAAGAGCGCGGGGTGGTGTTGTTGGTGGTGTGTATGTGTGTTGGAGGGGGGGGGGTCACTTTCACGCATCCATAATTTTGTAAATACAATGATTATGAAATCATTTAAATATCGAATGTGATGTGTAGAATATGCATATCTATATGGAAGTGTATCGCTGCCAATATTAAATGCTCTGCGACAATGCCGTTTCCACTGATTATATGTAATAAGTACAATGTACAATTTAACGCGAGGAGCTTTACTTTCTACTTTACTCCTCGTGTCGCTTTCCGAGTGGAAAGCAAAACACATCAGGGTTAGGCTTGACTGCTTTTATTCATACATTGGTACATGTATCACTTGTACGTAGAAACTCAATGCCCCGTCAGTGAGGTACGGTACATTAACATGGCGACAATAATAAAAGTGGTTCTTTTACACAGAGAGAGAGAGGAATGGGTTTTAACGTCCACTCGACACAAACAAGGTCATTTCGGGACTAACATATGGTTCAATTGTATTTCCATAATTCGCTTGCGCGTAGGGGTCTTTAGCAGTGGGGGGAAACCGGAGGACCCGGAGAAAACCCACGAGGTTGGACAGGCGACCCTACTACTTGTCACGTACAACCGGGGATTCGAAACCGTGCCAGTTGTCTCAATGACAGGCTTTATGATACAGCGCGCACGTGCTAACCATTCGGCCATCCAACACCCGGTTCTTTTATAAAAGACGAAGTATCTGTAAAACATGGTCTCAGACAACTAATTAATTATCCTGCATAAGTGTATAAGTGCATATAAACGAGAAATGTTGCTGTTTAATACATACAAAGTCAAAATACCTCTAAGGCAAGAGTTAGATTGTAAAACGTCAAATGTTAAGTGTTAAATGACAAATGTCCCGGGAAAATGCTTTTTTTGACGTGTCTACATTTTACATGTCTATCATTACATTTTACATTTGCTCTCTGCCACATCCAATCTGTCCTTCACGCATTCTACATAGCATCTTGCGCACAGCATCAACCTCAATATGCAAATGTAGGATATCACTATAAACCAGCACAGTATAAGGATATGCACCGCAAGATAACAGTAAATCGGCCTTGACACTTTGGGTGGTACTTTACCAGGATTACGGGGGGGGGGGGCTGTGCAATGTCCAAATACGAACATCCTGGTATCATGTTACATATTAGTGAAAAGCATGTTCATTTCTGTTTGTAAATATGTAAATAGTTTTTTGGTACCATCGTATTTTCATAATTCAAATCCAATAAATATCACACTACTAAAGGGGTATTCAAGTACAATTACATCCCACTTCTACTCGTTGCCACTGGCAACCTTTTGATAAAACTGTCCTGTTTAATTGCAATACATGCTTAAAAGTATCCGTGTATCAGAAATGTACAGAAAGAGTACTGATCATTTCTGATACACGGATACTTTTATACCGTTTTAGATATCTATCAAGCAATAAGTAGCGGACGTTCAGTCCGACCCAGATCGCAATTGATAACGAGGCTCTAACCAATGTACATGAAACAACTAGTCAAAATCATAGTAACAAAACAAAATGGGGGGAACTACATGGCAGTTCAAAAACATATACAATGACATTAAATTAACATAACATATTACAAAAATCAATTATTATACATACCAATTGGCATCTATTTCATAATTTGGTTTGATTTATATTAATATGCAAAATATATAAATTAGAATATTGAATAATTATTTTAATTAATTGTGATGATAGAAGGCGCAATTCTCTTGCTGGACACTTCACAGGCATTGAAAATAAGCAGGATGAAAAAAAAACGCCTAGAAAGTCATAAACTTTATTACAAATAAATTTCAACGGAAGAACCATCCGCCGATGCATACTTTCACCAAGAATGACCCACGTTTCGCATTTCCTTTACACTACATTTAATAATATCGCCATAGACATTGTTTTGACGATGTGGTCTAAACAAACACGTGATTGTTTTACGCTCAGAGTATCATAGCAAGACGCACGTGTGAATACTACTCAGGTCGTCTCTCAACTGCGAAATCATTCTACCATGAAATGTAACGTGAGGCTCAGAAAGGGATAAATAATGAAAGAACAGAAAGTATTTGTCACTTTTCGGTTGAAACGACTCGATAATAAATACTATTTTTCACATTTTGCTTCACATTATTCGATAGAAATGTGATGTAAGTAACTTATTAGCAACTTTCCTAGGTGTATCGGTGAATATCAGGACAGTTTTGGTCGGGAGCCGCCTCGGCTGGGCCCCTCGACCAAAACTGTCCTGATATTCACCGATACACCTCGGAAAGTGTGCTAATAACTACTACATACTAGTATAAATACGAAATTCCAGATACCATGTTACGTATCACTGATTGCTCTTTTCAAATATGCAAATAATTTTCTTGCACATTCATATTTGCTTAATTTTACAAAATAAGATTAAAGTTGAAGTGAAGGAAGGGTGGGGTGGGGGCGGGGGGTACTAAACTAAACTAACATAAAGATACGGGGCTTAATCAAAAATTCTCTATGTCCATACTAAAAAATATATAGTCATTCCTCTACTTATCTGTTGGGCACAATGCTTATATACTGTTGTTTTTTTTTTTAAATGGATCTAAGCTAATTAGGCTGTACTCAACTCTGTTTATAGAGAGACGGGAAAGAGTGTGTGTGTGGGGGGGGGGGGGTGTAAATATCAAACTACGGGTATTTATACGAAATTCCAGTTATTGTGTTATAAATTACTGGAAAGTATGTTTCTGTGGCTATTTGAATCTATCAATTATTTCCTGACACAATCATGATTACGCACGGTCGTCTAAATAGATGTAGTTTCTTATAGTGTGCAAGCTTGATTTACTGTTATCGTGCGGTGAATATCCTTATAGTGTGCCGGGTTTCCGTATATGTTAATAAGGCACGTGATATCATACATGTGCATATTGAACTTGATGCTGTGCGAAAGATGCTATGTAGAAAGCGTGAAGCACAAATGGGATGTGGCAGAGCGCAAATTTAAAATGTAATGAGATAAATGTAAAATGTAGACACGTCAAAAAAAGCATTTTCAACAAAACATTTGTCATTTAACACTTAACATTTGACGTTTTACAATCTAACTCTTTCCTTAGAGGTATTTTGACTTTATCATTATCGGTATCAGGACTTTGTACATTGTACTTTTGGAAACGACATTGTCGCAGAGCATTTAATATTGTCCGCGATACCCTTCGATATATCTATAAAATATCTTTCTTTGTCTGGCACCTATTGCAATACATTGGGTGAGATTGATAAAAAAAGATTCTGTAGGTCTTTGTCAGTGGTTAGCAGGGCACTTAGAAATAGGAATGAAATAAAATGAAATGGGGTTTAACGTCCAACGGTTCTGCTCCGAATTGGGCTAATGAATACGGGCATACGCCATGCAGTGTACTATGAGGAAATTTTGCCCGGACAGCGGCACTACGGCCTACTCTTATATCGAATACAAAATTTTAAGGGATATTTTACGTGCACGCCAATGTGTACACGGTACTTCGATTTTTCGTCCCATCCAAAAGACTAGAGAGGTATCCTTGTCAGACCCTCCGTCCTGCATCACTGACAAGTGACAAGGGGGAACGACGCCGGAAAATCTGGATGAACTTTCTCGGCTAATGCAGGGATCGAACCACCGTGACCCCCCCCCCACCCCCTTAGGAATAGCTTATGTTTGCAAGGCCTGGATACCAAGGTTAGAATCATGCAGATCGACAGGACTCGGACGTGATGAGTCTCAGTTGACAGCTGTCCAGACCGCCATGTTTAGAAGGCACAACCCATCAAGTCTGTGAGACTGAACACGGAACCAAATAAAACCTAACCATGAAAATCATTTATTTCTTGGCTCTGAAGATGCCAATCGCAGAAGAACAATGGATATGATTTTCAGATTATACCTTCTCCAAATGAAAAAGGGCAATTTTGGAGTAAACCTGGGACTGTGGATGAAAAAAAGAACAAAAATGCGCCCCTTAAACTTTATCAGATAGCAAAAATGGTACAAATCGTGTACAGAAAAAATCTAGTCCGGATTTTGATTTTAATTCTAGTCCAAATTTAAACGGATGTAGGAAAAAAAGCGTGGGTTTGTAAAAAGAAGCATAGTGTGACTTCAAATGAGTCTTCCATATATAAGCCCCTGGTAGGTTGAAGATGTTTTCTAGAGGTAAAATACCGCCAAGTACACTGTGGACGGTGATTTCCAGATAAACTTTATGTTTGGAAAACAGTTCTAAATAAAAGATCGCGTCAGTCTTTAGACTTGCAGGGACATACGCGATATCCGAGCCTCCGTACAAAATACCATCCGGGAACTTACTGTTATGCGCCAGATTCCGGGTAAACGTTTTATACCGTTCTGTGTGGTTTTTTTTTAGTTCTTCCAATACACGTAACATCGCTTGTCGTCCATAAGGTAGCGACCAATGCATCCATTTCATCGTCTCCCAACCCATCCGTGTCGTGCCTCCTGTGGGTAACCAAATTTTGTTAATGGGCAGATGTTTGATTCGCCATGGGTTGATTAAGACGTCATCGCCTATGTAAAGATATCCATCAACGCTGTAGTTCATTCTCATCACTTTGGCGAGACAGCGATAGAAATAAATACCCGTTAACATTTCTACCTCGATAAACGTGACACCAAATCCAAACTTAGCGGATTTTAAATTGAAGTCTTTAAGACTGGAACCACAATACACTATTTTGGTGAATGAATGACTGTATGTTTTATGGAGCGATGGAATGTTTTCATAATGCGGACGGTTAAATATTATTAATAACAGAATATTTTCCACTCTCGAGGATAAGGTCAATTTTGTCGACTTCATCTTTGATTCTATGGAAGGACAAATCTTAGACATTGTTTTCAATTTTTCTGAATAGGAGTATGTCTTTGGAGCTGACGATGACGGCTTCTTCTGTAACGTCTTTAACGGTGGTTTTCTTTTGATTGAATTTGTCTTCGATACGACATTAATCTTGTTCAGGAACAGTGCCTTCACCGGAATCTTTGATATATTCAGACGAAGTAAGGAAGATCGTGTTTTCATTGTAGGAAGAGTCTTTAATTTATGTTCAGGAACTCGTCCAGACGAGGCGAGTCTTGTGTGTTTTGGAAGAGACGGTGGATTTTTTAATGCTTTTGGAAACTGCTTCGTGCTCGCTTTTTTTCGATAATGCTTTAATACGGGCGATTTGCTTTTGATTGATGACTTCTTCGATATACTCAATGATGTGGGTACTAGTTTGGGGCTGATTTTAACTGGCCGTTTAGTCACGATTGAGGGTAATAGTTTGCTATTCGTTCCTGCCAACTTTTGTATTTTCGTTAATGCTCTACGTTGTGACTTCTTCACCACACTGGTAAGATTCCTATTCATGGGCAACTTCTTTAGTTCCTGCGATAAACCATGATTCATCTTTTTCCCGGGTTGTTTTGTGGATTTAAACTTCACTTGATGATGTGATCTGGTCTCCACCGCTTTGCTCACCTCAGTCTTTTTCCCGAGTTGTTTTGTGGATTTAATCTTCTTTGATCTGATCGCCACCGCTTTGCTCAACTTGACCTTTTTCTCGAGTTGTTTTGTTGATTTAATCTTCACTTGATGATTTGATCTTATCGCCACGGCTTTGCTCACCTTAGTCTTTTCGGTGTAGGACGTCTTTGACACCGTGGGTAGTGTAGAATATGTGATGAACTTCCATTCCACACGTACTGGCTCTGCATACCCAATTGACGATAAATCTCTAATCCAAACCGCCATTATGTGAATGTTTTTGGGTTGCAAGAAACCTGTTTCAGTAACCAAATCCGATATTAATTGAAACATGCATTTAAAAAATGAATTAAATGGGTCACATCTCCATTTTAACAAAAATTCAATCAGTAAATCGGCTGCTCTGTGGCCCTTGGAGCCTTCAGTATCAGCTGCAGATTGGGATTTATTAATGGCGTTGGGTGGATAGAACCCAACTGTTCCTCCAATTTCCCACACGAGTCTCTGGTTGATGAGATTTCTGCAAACTTCCCTGAGACTGGACGGGTTAGTTTTTGGCGAGAAGAGTGCCCACAAGGCTTCATATCTATACACAGTATTTTTAACAGAATAACTCGAAAATACACCAGGGAATAAGAATATTGGTGGGGCGTTATTGTTGTCTGTCTTGGGTTTTGAAGCCTTCGATCGAAAACCACAAACTAAACCTTGTTTTATTAAAGGACGAATAGGTCCTACACGATATGCCGAGCCGGAATTTGGCAGATCAGCCGTGGTCTCTCCTTGAACAAAATATCCCTCGACGTCAAAATATTCACTACCATAATAAGCAGTTCCAGTCAATTCGTTACTTTCTAGAAACGATGCATTAGTTACATTGAGGTCAGAGTCCAATTCGTAGATCTGTTCAGCACCGTTAGCAATAGCATAAAGGCAGCAAAGAAACCTCCAATTATCCTGGTCAAGTTCAAAGTTACCTGTCTCAAACCCAAAGTTAAGCAACTTGGATGTATCAGTGACTTCATCCTTTCCTCTGAAATTAGAGACACTTTCTAAAAGAGTTGAAATTGTGAATACCCGGGGAAGTCCAACTGAGTCAAATTGGGAAGGGTATGAATGATACGAAATAATGCTATTAAACACAATGATAACGTATTCCAGTATATACTCTGCCAAAAATGTTCTATTACTAAAAATATATGCTTGTCCAGAATTCTTTGAAATTAGGACCAATAGCTATACAAGTTTTATCATTGTAAAGTCTTATTGTTGTTAACACCTGTGACAGTTACCCGGCTAACCGTATCATGGCGTGGGGTTCGAAATGTTCAATAACGCGTTGTAGCGTCGGAGCATGTCATCTAATAGGTTCTTGATATTTCTTTGACTGTCAATATAAGAGTTGACCAAGAACAAATTACAACAGTATGTTATTTGGTACCACGTTGTGTTCGCGGGATCATCCTCTATAACATATCAAAAGTTCTCTGATTTTCGGTCCAGGGTAAGGGCTCAATTTGAATAAATTCAAAATGACCACCAAATGTAACTTTGTAGTCCCATAACTCCTTTAATCTGGAGTTTTCACCTTTTAAAATTATTACAGATAGAAACATAACCCCTGTGAGTCAGAATATGTACTTAGAAATTATTTTAAATGAACCCATGACCCATAACCCAACTCCCCTAAAAGGTAAATCTTCTTAGATACTTAAAATGATACGTATTAGTACTGAAGATCAATATTAATATACTATTCAAAAAAAGTAGGGGATGTTTGATTTTGGGGGCATAATACTAAAATATGCAAATGACTACGAAAAAAGTCACTATAGAACCGAACAGAAGAAACATTTCCAGTTACATGTGACGCCCAAACGCACCAATAGCTACCGCATGGAATGCAGGTGATGCTTGGGATCATCATGGGGGTCCAACCCAAGATTTGCACGACTCTGACTTTGAATGTTACAGTCATTGTGGCATTGAATTCCAGGGTGGAAACATCAGTTTAATTGTTTTAGTGACCAGAAAACAAATTTTGATATGCGTCGGCTTACCCAAAACGAAAGGTTACGTGCCCTTGGCATGCTACAGATCGGCACAACACAGGCGGTTGTGGCGCGGACGATGAATGTTTCTCAGTCTGTCATAAGCAGGCTATGGTCCAGATACCGTGATACACAATCTGTACAGGACAGACCACGCTCAGGTCGACCAAGGGCGACAACTCAAGCCCCGGATCGATTTATCAGTACCTTGGCCTTGAGAAATCGTGTCATCACAGCAAATTAGATCAGCGCTCGTCTTCAAACAGACACTGGTGTGAGAGTGAGTGGCCAGACGATTCGAAATCGACTGCATAGGGGTCACCTTCGCGCCCGACGTCCTCGCGCGATCCCTTGTTTGAGAGATCATCACATTCAGGCAAGACGTCGTTGGTGTAGGGATCGTCAACACTGGGATAATCGACGCTGGAGCAATGTGATGTTTTCAGATGAGTCAAGGTTCACTGTTGATTTTTTGGACAGACATAGGAGGGTGAGGCGTCGTCGAAACGAGCGCTTCCAAGACGTTAACGTCATCAGACATGATCGATTTGGGGGTGGTTCTGTTATGGTGTGGGGAGGCATCACTGTTGCTGGAAGAACGGCTTTACATGTTGTTGCAGGGCGTGTTACAGGCCAGTACTACCGGGACAACATCTTGGCAGTCCATGTTGTGCCGTTCGCACGACGTCATGGCCGCCGTTTCATCTTCCAGGATGACAACGCAAGATGTCACAGGGCCAGGATCGTTACAGGTTACCTCCAACAACAGAACATCACCACATTACCTTGGCCAGCACTGAGTCCCGACCTCTCCCCCATCGAGCATGCCTGGGACATGCTTGGACAGCGGTTACGTCAACGTCAACAACGTCCTGCCAATGTCCAAGAACTTGCTGCTGCGTTGCAACAGGAATGGGACAATCTGGACCAAAATGACCTTAGACGTCTCATTAGGAGTATGCCACGTCGGATCAATGCTTGTTTGGCAAACAGAGGAGGATTTACCCGTTACTGGCTTGGTTGTGATGCTGTGGTAACTTTGCTGTTTGACCCCGGGTATCATTTTACCCTTATAATGGTCAGTCTGTGCCTTACTTAGTCTAACGATCATTTGGAATAAATCGATGAATGTGAACTTCATTTCATTTTGTCATTTGTTTCTTCGTCAGTTTCATTAGGTGACTTTAATAACACTTAAAAATCAAATATCCCCTACTGTTTTTGAATAGTAGTAGTAGTCCTGACAGAGATAGTGTTCTGGGTGTGGATCCTTAATTAATGCTTAAAATGATTCGTATTAGTACTGAAGATCGTGCTGTTTAAATTTAACATTAATAGTGGAAGTAGTAATAGTGGTTTCTAGATACTTAATTAAATAATTCCCATTAAATGTGTAGGCAGTAGCAGTAGTAGTAGCAGAAGCAGTAGTAGTAGTTGCAGTAGTAGCAGTATCAGCAGCAGCAGTAGTAGTCGCTACAGTAGTAGTAGTAGTAGTTGTCGTAGCAGTCGTAGCAGTAGTAGTAGTAGCTACAGTAGTAGTAGTAGTAGTAGTAGCTACAGTAGTAGTAGTAGCCGTAGAAGTAGTAGCCGTAGAAGTAGCAGCAGTAGTAGTAGTAGCAGCAGTAGTAATTCTTCTTAGTAATCCTGCTTTACATTCAATACTAATATAGTAGCAGTAGTACTGTGATGGCCTTAAATTTATGTCCTTATACAATTACCATATTATATACTCAGCCAAATTAAAAACTTGACACTGATGAATTTCAACAATTTTTTTTTCTGTTAAGTCAAATAAATTTTAAAGTGTTTCTAACGATAGTAAGTAGTAAGAAGCCTTTAATTTCATAAAATTGTAAAGTCACGTGGATCACGTGATTTTTGAGCATATAAAGATGAAAAACCTGAAAAACACGTGCAAACACAAACTCGTGAGGTCAATCGATGCAAGTTTGCTTAAACTGAACACGCACACGTAACTTGAACTGGAAAAACAAATTAAAATTGTTATTTTCAACTTTGTTAGAAAATGCCGCGCCTTTCAAATGTAGAACGTCTACGTGCTATAGGTAGGCTCTATGCTGGTCAGTCTGTGGTCACTGTTGCAAGAGTCTTTAATTGTTCACGCCAGACAATAATTAATCTTAGAATGAGAGTGCTTCAAACTGGAACTATTGCCGACCGCCCAAGGGCGGGAGCGCCACGTGTGACGTCACTCCAGGAAGATCAAGCAATACGATTACGTCATCTTAGAAACAGATTTGTCACTGCAACCTCCACAAGTAGGGAGATGTTTGGTGGAAGGGTAACTGCACAAACTGTTCGAAATCGCTTGCAGGCTGCTGGTCTTCGAGCTCGGAGGCCCTATAATGGACCAATATTGACACCTCTTCATCGCCGTAACCGACTTGTGTGGGCCACAAGACACATAAGATTTACCCAAAGACAATGGAATTCGATTGTCTTTAGTGACGAATCTCGATTCACTTTGAGATTTGCCAATGGCAGGGCCCGAGTGTACCGCAGACGAGGTGAACGTTACGCTCAAGTATGCGTCAGAGAAGTTGACCGATTTGGTCGCGGCAGCGTCATGGTTTGGGGTTCTTTTTGTGCACATGGACGTTCTCCTCTTGTTGTTGTCCAAGGGAACTTAAATGCTGTCCAGTACAGGGATCAGATTTTGCAACCTGTTCTTCTTCCGTTTATGCAGAGACATGGGCCTGGACTAACGTTTCAACAAGACAATGCTCGACCCCATACAGCAATTGCTACCCAGAATTTTTTAAGAAATGCCGGTGTCCAAGTCCTGGATTGGCCGTCGCTTAGCCCCGACCTTAATCCTATTGAACACATATGGGACGAACTGGGTCGACGTGTTCGTTAGCAAGTGAATCCACCACTGACGTTGCAAGACCTTCAGCATGCTCTTGCTGAGCAGTGGCGACGTCTTCCTCAGGTAGTGTTTACTAATGTTCTGAGATCCATGAGAAGACGTTGTGTGGCAGTACGAGACGCTAGAGGAGGCCACAACCGTTACTAAACGCTTTATCCCGATTGTTCTCCAAGTCTGTGAATTTCATTTTGGGGGGTACTGTGACATCACGAACGTTATCAATGTCAAGGACTTTCGGCGAGACGTATTCTTGCTTTCTCTTGATGTCAAGGTCGTCTGTGCACAGCATAACACTAAAATAGTTGCCTTAAACCAAATATTAAAAATCTAGTCCCAAAAATCCCGAGTGTCAAGTTTTTAATTTGGCTGAGTATATTTTGGAGATCGTTTTTGACTTTATTTTACTCTTAAATTCTAGAAATACGATTTGTGGCTTACTATCTCGTCCATCAAACTCACTAATAAATCCACTTGCTTTTCGCTAGTGTTATTAGTTGGTGGTGCATCAGTGTAGTGCTAGTGAGGAGTGTGCCAATGAGCCGTGTCTGTGGGGTTTTTTTAAAAACAAAATAATAAAAAGCTGAATTGTTAAGCATCGGTGCCTTTGATTACGGTGACATCCTCCCATGTCCAGTTAGACTTTGATTACCGTCACTATACTGGTATGTCGATCTGGGATTACTTTCAAGTCCAGACATTAATCGGATTAAAGGGTCGGACCTGAGTCCAAGCGAGTCGATCATTTAAATACTCATCTTTTACTTTTAGATAATAGCCAGTAGGGTGACCATGTAGCGTCACTTTACGTTATCTGGGTGGGTACTTAAAATAATTTATATTAGTAGTAAAATTCGTGATGCTTTAAATACATTAATAGTAGAAGAGGTGGTTATGGTAAGTTCTAGTTAAGTATCTTCAAATCTTAAAATGAAAATCTCACTGCTTACATTGTTATGGTGATTTTTCCGGTTTGGTAGAAGATGTAGAAGAGCGTCCAATCGGTGTCGTGTAGAAAGATTGTATCGAGAAGTTTTTCTTCTGTCTCAGAGAAGATCATCACCCATTTAGCGGCATTGGTGGGTCGTTCAGGATTAGTAAAACTCGTAGAAAATCTGCTGAAACATTGATTGCATTGTCTGTAAAGTCTTCAGTGGACATCGACGATTCGTGGAGTTGTTAATGAGAGAAAACTAGGTCATTTCAGGACTAACACATGCTTCAACTTTAATTCAATAATTCGCTTGCGCGTATGGGTCTTCAGCAGTGGGAGGACACGAAGGTACCGGAGAAAACCCACGAGGTTGGACAGGCAACCCTACTCATAAAACACGCCAGTTTACTAATTGACAGACCTTATGATACAGCGCACACGTGCTAACCATTCGGCCATCCAGCACTCCCACTCCCCGAGTTGTTTATGATGATCATGATGATGATGACACAAAACAGCTTATTACTTCAAAAGCTATATACAACATGGCGAAAATATTATAAAACATGTTTCATTATTCTGTTATGAGAACGCGACTTATCTGGAGGTCATGGTCCAAAAGTTTGATTTGATAGATTACTCGATTGGCTTGTTTACGAATTTTATTTACATTGGAAACTTAAACTGTCATCTAACAAAATAAATCAAAACAAAAGCCAACGAATTCTACAATTTTATTTTTGATTCGAATCAAAAAAGGTGTTTCCTGTCGTGCTTGTTCTTCGAATACAAGAGAACTGACACTGCACTGATTATTGCAAATTTCACCAGCGTATCTATTATTTTATTAAGCACATTTCATCAACAGAGCAGGTCATCATTATAGGTACCAGCAAGCAATGTCAAAAGGTCAAGAAAATTTAGAATTTGTCCCCATTTCTCTAGAAAGTTTTGTTGAAACTATCTTATTAAATTATATATAACAGATTGTGTACTATGTATCCCGGCATGTCATTTCTAGCCTACTTATTGCTGCATATTTATCTTAGATAAAAGCTGGGCCGACATAAATAAATACTGTCGGGGTAGGTTATCACGCAATCTCTGTTATCACCCACACCTATAGTATAGTATACTTATATTTAAAGATTGGATGAAGAGCTTCAATCAAATTGATCCACCCTGAACCGAGATTTTAGCGATTGAATTTTCGGCCTAGCCTCGATCATCATTATTAAAGTCCGTACGACAAAAAACATAGTCTCGATTAAATCAAGAATGAAAGCGGAGCAGCAAATGGGATTCTAATCCAGTAAACATCGCAGGTTAGCGTTGACATCGAGTCGAGAGTTGATTATGGTCTGGATAAGTTATTTAATGTCTAGTTTATATAACATTTCAGGCCTAAAGAAAGACCTGCAATAAGCAGATTTAGCTCTTGTATTATGTATGTTTAAGTTGATTATGAGGTATTTTTACAGACTGGTTAATACTAAAAACATACTCATTAGAACAAACTAATGAGTAATCCTGTAATTGGGAATACAAACGAGAGAGATGGGGGTAACGTCGATTCGACACAAACTAGGTCATTTCGGGACTAACATATGGTTCAATTTTATTTCAATAATTCGCCCGCGCGTAGGGGTCTTTAGCAGTGGGGGGAACCGGGGGACCCGGAGAAAACCCATGAGGTTGGACAGGCGACCCTACTCCTTGCCACGTACCACCGGAGAATCGAAACCGCGCCAGTTGACTCAATGACAGGCCTTATATGATACAACACGAGCGCGCTAATCATCCGGCGATCCAACACCCCATCCATAATAAGGGTCATAATTGATGTGCGACTGCCGACTGGGTCTCTCAAACAAACAGTGATTACAAGGAGTTAGAAGGGCGAACGAGGGATATGCGGACGGACGGACTGGGGCAACAACATAATCATTTATAAATGAAATCATCATTATGTTGAACATGGTAGGTCATGGCCAAAAATGATATTCTACTATAAAAATAATTTCAGGTTCTTATGTTAATTTTCTCTAATAGAGAAAATCCAATAAATGCATAGTACTTTGTAGAAATTTTCTGTACCTTTCATCATGAAAGGTTCCAGATTGATCAGTCGAAGTCGATAGATGTCGCGCATAGAGGTTGGACATAAACCCAACCAGACCAGGCTGTTGTCGCACAGAGTCATCCAATACGAACACGCCATGGAGGCATCAATGTACGTTTTCTTAGTCCTATCTAACAGAAAAAAAACCTATATCAGAAGACGTGACACAAGACATTGTATGTTTTCTTAGTCCTATCTAACAGAAAAAACTCGGTATATCTATATCAGAAGACATGACACAAGACATTGTGAAATTACTGTCAGCTGTACAAAAAACACTCCCTTGTTAGGGTGACCCACCATAAATAAATATCTCCAAATATCTCGACAATTTCGCCACAATATTTATATATATGCCAAGCCTCAAATCAGTTTCACACAATTATAGTCACTAAATAAACGATCATGTTGTACTTAATAAGCTATGACCATTAATCATCTATAAATAATAGACTGAAAACTGGTTCCAAGTTGCGTCCATAACATCCAGACACTTTTGAGTAAAAGATAGGTTACGTGCCCTTGTTTTGAAATTAGTCTCGCTTAACCAGTCTATCGACCATTCTACGTCTGATTGACAGGTCGGGATAATCAAGACTACTTTTTTACGAAACATAACAGAAAGCTAGAACAAGAAATTGAATTTAGAAATAAGCACTTTAGACAACTCAACAATTGTTTTAAGAAACTTGTAAAAGTAAAATGACACTACTGCTAGTATCATGTTCCTGCTAAAGAAAGTGATTCAGAGATAGTATTTGTACTAAACCAAAAGATGCCGCTCTTAACGGTACAGTTAATGATAAAGCAATTTAAAAAATAAAACAAACGTAATTACTAAAGCTGCTGTAATAACCAAGAAGCTAAATTTTACTGCTATTCAAAATCGTCAACAATAGATTTTTTACGGCTGTAATAGTTGATATATTTGTAGAGAATTGCACGTGCCATGGCTATTTATCGACTCAAAGCGAGTGCGGGGTAGTAAGAAATCAGTTCGAGACACGCAACTGAAGCGTGCACATTTAGCCGTGTCGAGACCAACTTTCTGTAAAGTGCACGGGTCATCCTACCCTTGTCAAATCAGCGTGGTTTTTCAAATGGTAACGTTCGAGCTGAGGGTCATGGTGGCAAATCTTGCCAAATCCTGACATAGATAATCAACTAATAAAGTATTTATATCGTTGAACAAATTTTAAATAAAATGCGAGCTTACATCAACTTTCGGGGAGCCACGTTGGCTAAGTGGGTAAGACGCTGGCTCGCTAGTCTGGAGGTCCCGTGTTCGATCCCTGCATTGGCCCAGAAAGGTCATCCAGATTTTCCGGCATGGTTCCCCCTAGTTAGTGATGCAGGACGGAGGGGCTGACAAAGACAACTGTTTATTCGTTCGGATGGAATGAAAAACCGAGGTCTCGTGTACACGTTGGCGTGCACGTAAAAGATCCATTGACAGTTGGAATTGGATATAAGAGTAGGCCATAGTGCCACTGCCCGGGCAAACTTCTCTCATAGCACACTGTATGGCGTATGTCCGTCTTCATTAGCCCAGTTTAGGAGCAAAACAGTAGGACGTTAAACCCTATTTTATTTCATTTTATTTCATTTCATTTCTTTCTTCTTCTTTCGACTACAGCCCGCAATTTGCATTTAAAAAGTTTAATTCACGTTTCTAAAGTGTAGTACTAGACGGCTTTATCATTTGAATGATTAATTATATTTGTACGAACTTATAAATCCAGTTAACTTTATCAATAATTCAATATTCCTGTGCGTGTGTAAACTATATCATGTATGATAAATTTGGTGCAAGCTGGTGAAATTCACATCGACTAAAATTATAAAATTGATTGTAAATTCCACTTTGATTGACAGCTAGTTTTCATGATAAAAATCACATTTAAATACTTGAAAATAAACGTTTATCATGCAAATATCAAATCATGCTTATATACAATCAAAAATTTAACTAAGAGAGGTTTCATAGTTATTTCTGTTTTATCATTGCAAATATCAAATCATGCTAATTTACCATCAAACATGTTTTAACGTTAAATGGACCGAGGTTTCATAGTTATTCGTGTTTTATATATTGGAATCTAAATAATTAAGCATAAAACTTAATATGTTTTAATTATATATTGAATACATAAACAGGTGTTTTATTGGAAAATATATTAAATTTTCCAGATTATGAACAAAGGTTATGATTTAATGTTAAAATGAAGGTACGTATATAAACTGCTTATGAATTGAATAATTCAGAATCCTGAGAGAAGTTTGAATAGAAGTGAAGTCTATCAACAGATTGATTGATCAATATGGAAAGCGTTAGTATCATTAGTTGTAATTCAATATTCTGATGGGTGTGATTGTTGATGACGTTAGGTTATTGTAGGTTGGGATTGCTGAATGTCGGGTGCCCCACCATAAATAAATATCTCCAAATAATCTCGATAATAACAATACAATATTTATATATACGCCAAGCCTTAAATCAGTTTGGCACATTTATAAATAAACAGTCATGTTGTACTTCATAAGCTATGACCATTTAACCATCAATACAGTGCTAGGACTATCTAGGAAAAAGTGCTAAATTTTGGATGTTTGGGTTTGGTCCGGTTCACTGATTTTAATTGCTTGGTATGCTGATCTAAACAACATGTCCGTCTTGAGTAGTATTGCCCTAATATAAATTACATAAGCGTTGACAACTATTAACCTGCCAGTGGGAGTATCAAATAACTTAACATTTTAATTTCTAAAATAAAAATCTCATTTCATATAAAGTTGTTTAGTCTTCCAAAAACCAAGTTTTATCATGCTGAGCTATTTTTGTACGCCCATATTTTCAAGTGGACGTGTATTGAGTCGCCCCTGTCAGCCCACAATTTATTTGTGGACACGCGGTTCCTTTTGATATTGGCATTTTATCCAATATTAAAAGCTGTTCTAACATATCACCATTCCACCCTTATGATGGTTGAGTTCGAATTTCATGAAAATCGGATTGAAACTGCCCGCTCCTCGTTCGCAAATAGTATAAAAGTATATAA